GTTGAAGGATGAATTCCAAAAGTTGATCTTCATTTAAAAGTCGGGCTGAATATGGTTTAACTAATGAATCATAAATTAAAGCTTGTGCTTCATTTATGGTCTGAAGGACCTGGGCGTTTTGCACCTTTTGTTTTTGTTCCTTTGGTTTTTGCGGCTCAGGATTATATAATTTATATAATTTATATAATTCATCAATATCTTCTTCTGTTAATACTTTATTTTTGAAATCTTTCAATTGTTTAAGTTGTGATTTACTTTTTCCCTTTGAATATTCATTATTTTTAATTTTGTCTTTAATTTTAGAAATTATTTTATCATGATATTTCAAAACTTCATTTTTATAATACGAATAATAATAATCCATATCATCACCCGTTATATTGTTATCATGTTTTTGGAGATATGATTTTAATTCATAATAATTAAGAAAATTTTGATTAAGTACTAAATCATCAATTAAATTTTTTAAATCTACGCTATTCATTTATATAAAAATAAAATAAGTGTTTTAAGGGTGCCCGCCTCTTTGAATCATAGTATCAAAACCATTATTTACGGTTCCTTTTGTCTCTTCTGTGGCATTTTATTAAATAAATGGCATACAACATCCATTTTCACAACATACAGCCTTAGTGTGTGCTCCTGTTAATGCAGTCTTACCGATTGTTAAGCGAGTCATTGACCCGTTTTTAAGTTGTAAATTAATATTCTGACCATCAAATATCACTTTATCATTTATTATATCCAAATAATTTTTAGGTGTTAATTGTTTATTTTGTCGTAAACTAACTCCTTTCATTTTTTGTGCAATCTTTTTAAAATCACTTCCATCAATTGAACCGTTGAATGAAGTATAACACTTAGGACATAAAGCAACCATGTTATCACCTTGTTTCTCAATTGCTAAACCCAATAACTTCTTCTCATGTGCTTTTTCTTCAGCTTTATTCTTTAATTTAGGTTTAAATTTCTCATTAAAACAGAAGAAATCAAAAGGTGCGAATTTGTAAATGTTTTTATCATAAAATTTTTTATCGGTTACAATTGCTTGAAATGCTTGAGTGTTAGGAAGATTTGGGTCGCCAGCGATTGCCCAATAAGATGAATCAGTATCACCTTCAATGAAATGAAAACGATTAACATCCATGCATTTATACATAAAATCATAAATGAAAACCAAATACCAGTATTTTGCGTTATCTAAAGTGAAGAATGCCTCTTGTAAACATGTATCACATCTATAAAATCTATCTTTAAGCATCACTTGATACGTATCCTCTCCTATTTCTCTTATGTTTTTAAACTTATTTGACATACATGCAACGCGTGCCTTCTGTGCATTCATTATTTTAGTCTTTGCGTAATTTTGTGTATTCATTGCATCGTAACCATATGATCCATTAAGTGAAATCTTGCAAAATAAACTTTTTCCTTTATTTCCTTCTAATTCAGCCTTTTGTCTTTCGTTCATAAATTCATTCGCAAATTCATTAAAACAAGTATTTTTCGTAAATGTTAAAATTGATTGAATGTCATCAATGATAAAATGAAATCTGTCTATTAGATACCAAAGATAATAAGAAGAAAATGGTTGATATTGGTTGTGTGTTGATGCTAACTGAGTTAATTTCCTCTGTTTCTGGTCAACTGGTAGATTGTTTGATTTCATGTAATTATACATAAAACACCAATTGTTTTTTCATCTGTGATAATATCAAAGTTTCTTATTATTGGTAAAAAGTTTATGTAATCATTAATGTATTTTTCATCAATGTGACCCTTTACTTCAGCCACGAATAAAGTATTTTTCTTCTTAATTATTCCCAGTGCTTTTGCTTTCTTTGTTGCTGTATCACAAATGATAACACCATTCAATCTTCCCGGCATATACATTTTATGGTCAGTATATTGAATGAAATCATGAGGATTAGATGAAAATGATGAAGGATATAATGAATTAAAGTCAACACCAACGAAATGAGTCATAATGTTGGAAGTGTCCTCATTTGATACAGTTTTAGTTTCTGGATTATATGAAAGTTTATTAATGTGCGTGATTCCTTTAAGATTTACTCTATGTTGAACATTTGATAAACCACCAGTAATTCCATTACGGAGGATGTGATAAGCTTCAACTGAATCTAGAGTCATTGGTAAATTATTTTTTAATGTATAATTTCTTAAATTGATTCTTAAACGTTGAACATCTTCATCTTTATTTGATTTTACGACATTGCAATAACAACACATTAACTGACAATTTTCTTTGGTATGTGGTTTTTCATTATCGATTCTATCTAATGTTGGTTTATTAGCATATGTAAACGCTTTACCACACATTTTGCATTTAGATGAAAGGATTAAATCGTGATAGTATTGATAGTCATCCATTGAAACATTGTTTTTAGTATCCCTTTCTGCTTTTTCATCTTGTTTCTTATATGAATCAATTTTATATTTCAATACTTTTTCGTTAATTCAAAACTTGATTCCACATTTTCTTCTTCTGGATATGTTTCGTTAGGATTGAAGTTCTTATATGCTAACGCGTAACGAATCATTGATGCATTCGATGATAAAGAAAGATTATGAAGCATGTCAATTTTATAAACAAATGTTTCTTCAATAATTTTATCAATTGGGTTAATCATAATTTCAACGTCTTTATTGCAATAATGAATAAAATATTCTAATCTATTCTCAAAATTTTTAGCATCATTGAGATATATTTGATAATCTGAATCGGATATTGTTTCTTGAGTTAATGCTGAATAAAATGAATCTTTCGTGAATGGTTCCTTTTTATATAATTCATCTTCGTAATTTTCCCACGTGATGAATTGATAAGGGAAAAAGGATTTAACACGTGATTTATTGTTTCCGAAATCTTGAGTGAATTGGTCTAATGTTCCACCCGCTATATAATTTCTGATGTCAATAAATCTTAATTCATATGGACAGTTTGTTTTCTTTACAATGATTTGCTTAAATTGAGAAGATGAACCCAGCATTGATTTTATTTTCCATTTTGCAGTGTTTAAATCACGAAGAATTAAATTTAAATCAAACTTTCCCGAATTAAAACCTATGATATTCACTTTATTAAATTCTTCATCTAAAAGCTCTTTCATTGCTTCCTTTTGTTTCTCATTTAATGTATGAGACAAAGTCCCCGCCGTTTGGTCCGTTTGCGGCTTCATTAATTCTTCATATTGTTCAATATTTGATTTAGCAACTAATGAACAGGTTGAAAATAAAAATTCAATCCAATCAGAGATGAACGAATCACTTGATGTTAAGCAAAAATTCCTCGTAAATGTTTTATCACGGTCTACGACCTCGCCGCTTCGGTCTGAAAGACCTTCAGGACTCAAAGAGTCCGTTTGCGGCTTTATTTTGACAGTTGATGATACCATAAATGGTTTTAAGTAAGCGTTCAAAGTTGCACATTCAGAAAGTTGAAGTTCTTCTTTAGTCTCTAATGTTTCGAAGTCAAAAGTAATATAATATCTTGTTGGTTTATAATATTCCTGCAAATTATGTGCTAATAGCCATTGATATATCTTCTGTTTCGTGATATGTGGTGCATATGGTTGTTGTGTGTTTTGCAATTGAACGTCTTGAATTAATCTTCCATTATTTTCTTTACATTTCTCACAATGTTTTAAAAATCTTCTTTGGTTTTTCCTTTCCGGATCATCACGGATAGAATAAACTTCTTCTTTGCAATATGGACAAACTTTATAGCCGGTGAGTGCTTCAACGTCTGTTATTCTGTCAGCGTGAAGTTTTCCACATGGACTCTGTGTTAATAAAATATTTACTGTTTCAAATTCTGGATCTATCATTATTGATTCCACTAATGGAAAGTCTACCTTGTTAATGTCTACGTCTTCTGGTTGAGGGTCACAATAATAAAAATCAATATTAACGTTTAACATTCTTGCTAACCTCTCACTTTCTGATGAAATGTCGAACCCTTCATATGCATCTATTGCTTCATTTAAATAGCTTCTACGAGTTTTAGGATTAACACCATCAGGAATGTTATAGAAGCGTTTAAATAACCTTCTACCTTCGGCTCTTATTTGATTATCATTCATTTTAGCTGTTCCGTTTTTGTTCATTTATGTAAGAATAAAAAATTAAAAAATAAATAAAAATAAAGTTTATTTTTTTTAAAGTCCAGGGCTAAAGTCCATAAAATGAATTAAGAACACATAAATTTTTATCATCTGCGACGTGACGAATACATTTTAATTTACTCAAGAATGCGTACCCTGATACATTAAATCTAATTCCTGTCTTATTTAATTTCACAACTTTGAAAAGGAATGTATGAATAGCTATAAAATGATGAGATGATGTTTTATGGGTTGCTTCCATTTTTTCTGAAATAAATGAATAAATATAATGTTTATAAGTTTTCATATCTTTTATATTCTTAATAACGAATGGTATAGACCTTTCAACTTCGTCTTCCTTCGGTGCTGTTCTTTCATATGAAACATTATTAGTATCTTCAATAATGAAACCACAATCGCATAAAATTTTATATGTACCAATTGTTTCTTTTGATATTTTATCTAACAAATCAAAAACTTTATCAACACCTGCACATTTATTTAAATAATAATTTGTGTAAATATCATGGTCTTCTTTCTTAATCGTATTTGTTGCATATGTTACATTTTTCAGTGCTTTTTTGAATTTTTCAGAATCAAGAGGAGGTGAAAGTAATATACATGGATAATCTCCATCGTCAATAAATTGTAACTTATGTTTATGAATAAATTTAGTACCTTCTTCTGAAAGTGTTTCGTCTATTTCACCATCTAATAAATTTTGTGTTGATTCTGAGACATAATTTTTATATCTTTCTTCATGAGATTTTTGAACTTCTGATTCTGAAGCTGGGATATTCATTAAACCCTCTACTTCATTCTCATTATATTTTTCAACTTCTCTTAATTCCTTAATTTTTTCATCTATTTCATCTCTTATTTTTTCCAGTCTTTCAATTTCATCATATTCATCATCTTTAATCCGTTCTTCATAATATTCAGGGAAAACATCAGGTTCTTTAGGTTTTTCTTCTTCAGATGTGGGATATAAGAAATTTATAACATCATCTTTATTCATTTTTCTATCATAATCAAACTCATTTAAAAACTCCGCGAATTTTTGACAATTTCTTAAATAATATTTACTAACCTCATAACCCGCTTCCTCTAATATATCCTTTATTTCCTCATTTGTGAATCCCAATTTTTTAACGTTGTTAGTTTTGACACTCATTTTCATACAAATTAAAAAATAAATTATTCAAAAAATGTAAGACATGAATTTTTAAAGTTTATTTTTTTATTTTTTTTATTTTTTTTATTTCATTATGTATGGGTTTAGTGAAAATTTCTTACGATTCTGAAAATTTTTAAATCTTGATTTATTCAAAAACGTAAGAATAAAAACCGTAAAAATCATACATTTTTTACTTCATATGTAAAAAAAAATGATACAAAATCGCTCAAAAATGTATGAATTCTTACGTTTACAAAAAAAGTCACAAAACCCGCAATATATACTACTCAGATGTTAACATGAAACTTATTCTCTTTCTTTTCATATTAATCATTGTTTTATGGAATTCTCTTTCTTTTCATATTTGTTGTGCATGAAAAATAGCGTGACTTCACTTTTGACAAAAAGTGACACTATTTATGATGGTTTTGTCATTTATTTGTCAGATTTATAAATGGATAATAATGCTGGAAATCAGATATTAATTAAAAATATTTAAGATTTATGTTCGAATTGAAAAGCAAAACGATATTTTTTTAATTGAAAAACGTTATTATCTGATATTTTGAAGTTTTTAATATTTGTTAGTATCTTAAATTATTGAATGCATACGTTTTTTATGTTCTCAATTTTAAAAAAAAATTGTGAAGAATTTAGTTTTTTGGAGATGGATGTTTAATATTTGTGAGTGAGAATGCAAGCAGGAGTTTGGTACTTTAAGGCTAGGTTGAGATAGATTTCCCATTATATTATCTGTGAATATATTGTTTGAAAATTCAAGATATAAAAATATATTATCAAAAAATTTTATATTTTTAAATACAATAGGGTGGAAGTATAGGACGATGAGATAGCAAGGATATATTTTATAATGGGAGGTAATCTGAAGATAAGTAGCAAATTTTATGCGATTTTGATTGGGAGTTGGAGGGTGTGAGTACTATAGCATGTAATAGTATCTCACACCCTCCAATTCTTCCTATGGCGCCGAAAAATTTTTGGTGAAATGCGACGACATTTCACCAAAAATTTTCGGCGCCATATAGAGAACTATAGTCTGCGAGGTACTGATTCTATCTATGTACCTCGCAGACCATAGTTCTCAGCCAAAATGGCTAAAAATTGGGTGCAATTTTTTACATTGCACCCAATTTTTAGCCATTTTGGCTAAGAATTGGAGGGTGTGAGTACTATAGCATGTAATAGTATCTCACACCCTCCAATTCTTCCTATGGCGCCGAAAAATTTTTGGTGAAATGCGACGACATTTCACCAAAAATTTTCGGCGCCATATAGAGAACTATAGTCTGCGAGGTACTGATTCTATCTATGTACCTCGCAGACCATAGTTCTCAGCCAAAATGGCTAAAAATTGGGTGCAATTTTTTACATTGCACCCAATTTTTAGCCATTTTGGCTAAGAATTGGAGGGTGTGAGTACTATAGCATGTAATAGTATCTCACACCCTCCAATTCTTCCTATGGCGCCGAAAAATTTTTGGTGAAATGCGACGACATTTCACCAAAAATTTTCGGCGCCATATAGAGAACTATAGTCTGCGAGGTACTGATTCTATCTATGTACCTCGCAGACCATAGTTCTCAGCCAAAATGTCAAAAATTTCGGAAATTCGAAATAATTTTTTTGACAAAAAATTAACCGTTTAACATTGCCAAAAATCTAAAAAACTCACAATTTTTTTAAATTGATAAACCTCAAACCGTTTCCAATCAATAATTTGAGAGTCTATATGATAATGTAAAAGTTAAAACATTCATGTATTTAAGTATTTCTTTAAAATATTAAGTTTTTTATTTTTCCAATAAAATTCTAATATCAAATATTTTTATTTCACGATTAATTTTATTTATATTTTTATAGTTTTTTTTAAGAAAAAATATTGTTAGGGTTTTATGGATTTTCAATTAATATACAAGATAATTCGAGTGCGGGACAAATTTGCCAGGTGTCACTTTTTCAATAACCTTAAATTATGCTTTTCTATTTTTTTTAAAAAATAACCTTAAATTATATTTGAAGAAATTATGTCTATGATATATGTTTTATGCTAGAATCTTGGAGTTTTCATGCACTACACAAGAGCTCCAAGGTTCCAAGAGTGAATGCTCAATAGCAATTATAGAGATGTACCTTTTCAAAATGACTTTTACTGATTAAATTTAATCAATAGAAGACATTTTGAAAAGGTACCTCTACAATTAGATATACAATAGATTCAAAGCTTCATTTCAGATAGATTTGAAACTTTGAAACTCTTGGTAGATTTTGAGTGAATGCTGACAATCATCTTTGAGAAGGTTTTCTTTAAGAAAACCTTCTCAAAGAGGTTTCTCAGGAGCCCCGAGGCTCCCTTTCGTAATGATTGGGAGCCTTGGGGCTCCTGAGACGAAGAATGGCTTCGCCGAATCTTTGATCAGCAGAGGCCAAATGAAAAGGCCTCTGCTGATGGATTCTCAGGAGCCCTGAGGCTCCCTTTCGTAATGATTGGGAGCCTTGGGGCTCCTGAGACGAAGAATGGCTTCGCCGAATCTTTGATCAGCAGAGGCCAAATGAAAAGGCCTCTGCTGATGGATTCTCAGGAGCCCTGAGGCTCCCTTTCGTAATGATTGGGAGCCTTGGGGCTCCTGCAGCAGAGTATCGCTCCGCTCCATTAATTTTTTTTTAAAAAAGTGCCGTGTGGCAAATTTGTCCTGTTCCCCATCTTTATTATTTTTTTTATTCCTTTGAAAAGTGACACTGGATAGTTTGTCCCTTTCTCAGATAATTCATGAATGTATATATTTCCCAGTTTTTAAGGATGCAACACTTTACATTTGTAAACTGTCAAAAGTGAAGTCACGCTATTTTTCATGCATTACAATATTAATCATTGTTTTATGACATTCTCTTTCTTTTCATATAGGGTGTCCAAAGGTGTGTTTAGCACAAACCTGAATACTGCGAATAGAAATAAACAAGTTACATATATATAAAGTTTATTTAAATATAATCACCATTGGATTCAATCACGCGTTCGCAGCGATCGATCCAGGCTTGAAAGACACGCTTTAAATCATCATGAGAAAATTGCTCAAATTGCTCTCTTACAAAATTTTCAAGATCATCTGTACTCGCGAATTCGCGTCCTTCAGCTCTCTTTTTTAGCGTGCCGAATAAATAAAAGTCAGAGGGTGCAATATCAGGTGAATAAATTGGGTTTGGAACAACTTTGACATTGTTTTCCACCAAGTAATTCATTACCTTATGACTTTTGTGAACTCTTGAATTATCAAAATGAATTGCAAACTTTTGTTTTTGTTGTTTGGATTTCTCAAACTCATCAGAATTGATAATTTGAGTAAGAACATTGTCAATTAGATACTGAGCATTCATCGTATTAGGTTTTTGAAGAATATCAATTGCGATGATACCATTCACGCCCCAAAAAACCGACAACATAATCATTGGTGTGTCAATTTTTTCTTCGGGAATGTTTGCGGATTTTCATCCTTCGGGATCCACATGATTTTGGCTTCTATTGCATATTGAAACCAAGACTCGTCCCCTGTTACTAAAAAGCGAAACTTCTTGGATTGATACGCACCAATATAGAGAGGAGCTCTTTCGAAGATTGGACTCTAGATTTTTTTTTGAACTGAATTAAGGTTGTGCGGAACCCAACGTGTATACGCTAGTTTGTAGTTCAAATAATTTGCAGATAATAACTGACTATTGTACGTGGTATCTTTGTCATCTCCTCTATCCTTCTGAGTGATGCTCTTGGGTCTTCATCTAGCGCTTGAAGAATTGCTTTGATTTTTCTTTGATCCGGCGATTTTTTGTCAATTTTTATGATGGGCGCCTTTTTGTTCATGAAGTGATACATCCTAACATGATACGTTACAGTGGAATAGCTAGGAGCATCCATACCGAAGCATTTTACCAATGTCTCGTAGATTTTTTTACAGTCTTTGCATTTTTTTGCAAGAGCGAGGATGTTTTCTTTATGATTCATTAAAAAAATGAAAAAAATCCCGCCAAAACTTCCCGCGAAACCGCCTCTTGTCTCAAAATTCATTTTATATCCCGGCATGGCGCCAAAATACAACTTACTCATCATATACATATATTCATATTTTTTATTATATATTTATAATCAGCATATATCTCCTTTAATAGTCTCATATAGAGCGCTGTGCTAAACGCACCTTTGGACACCCTATATTAATCATTGTTTTATCTAATTCTCTTTCTTTTCATATTAATCATTGTTTTATATAATAATATTTCTTTTCATATTAATCATTGTTTTATGAATTTCTCTTTCTTTTCATATTAATCATTGTTTTATAGAATTCTCTTTCTTTTCATATTAATCATTGTTTTATGAATTTCTCTTTCTTTTCATATTAATCATTGTTTTATAGAATTCTCTTTCTTTTCATATTCATCATTGTTTTATAGAATTCTCTTTCTTTTCATATTCATCATTGTTTTATGAATTTCTCTTTCTTTTCATATTAATCATTGTTTTATAGAATTCTCTTTCTTTTCATATTAATCATTGTTTTATAGAATTCTCTTTCTTTTCATATTAATCATTGTTTTATGAATTTCTCTCGATATTAATGAATGCCCTCTTAGTATTGCCATCAAAGCGAATTCAATAGAAATTGTCCAATTCCTAGTTGATCATGGTGCAGATGTTAACATGAAACTTATTCTCTTTCTTTTCATATTCATCATTGTTTTATGGAATTCTCTTTCTTTTCATATTAATCATTGTTTTATATA